TACTAGCTGCAAGGACCCGCTTCGCTGGGTTTTTATTTGTGGGCAAAAAGTAACGATAGTGAAGATTAAGATAATTACATTATAGCCAATCTTACCCGTTTTCACAAAATGCAAGAATTAGGTCTCCCGTTTCCAGACGTTTCCAAAGAATTTTTACATGAGCATAAAAATATGTTCGATTTCCCGCAAAATCTCAAAAAACCGCCTGTAAATCTTGCATGCCACTTTATATTAACACTTCCTGGTCCCGATTCTAATTCTGAACGTCTCCTGTTCACGTCCAGTCAAACGAACTATTTTCAACATTTCTGGAACGTTTACGATCGTTCTATAATCGAACCAATATTCGAATTTTATGTTCGAATTAAATTCGAACAAATTCGAACATAAAATTCGAAATAGAAAGCCACTTTCAACCACTTTCAGCCCCATATCTCCCGCACCCTTATAGCTATCGAGACGCGATCCCCCTGGTGCACGAATGGAGACTTGGGGCTACCACCACATACAAACACCATTCACGTGCGATGTGTAGTTTTGGCGGAAAAGTGAAATATAGGGAAATACTTGTCCATTTTTATATATATAGAATATAGATATAAATATAGATTAAGCGAATAATGTAATGTTCCCGTAAATTATTCCGTAATACAATTAATAAGGTTGCCACTGCGCTCTCTTCGTCTTTCGCTGCACGAGCTTAAATCGATCGTTTAAACATTTTGTGACGAATCATCGATTTTCTACACCACTGTTTGTAGTTTAATTCGTGAGAGAAAAAGTGATCGTAACCATTATAATGTAAGTACAGTTTTTACATAAACAGATTAGACAAAGTTTTGTAAATAATTTTTAACGTGTGAAAATCCTTTGTAAATAAATACATTTGTCGTTAACTATACCTATAACACTATGCTTATGACACTTAAAATCATGTATAAACACAGTTTTGCGGGATTGTAAGGTGACGCACCTACTGACCATTGTTCTCAATTATTTCTGTTGGATTGAACTAACATTCATCTACAGTAACAAGCAATTTCGCAAACGTGCAACAATGCAACAAGCCAGAAAACAATATGAGATGTGTGTCGTAGAATTTACTAAAAAATTAAATATTATTGCAAAATTAAAAGATTAATTTAAATTCTCCATCCAATTACAAGAGTTAAACGTTCGAAGTTCAAATTGCACAAACTTCTATNAAACGTGCAACAATGCAACAAGCCAGAAAACAATATGAGATGTGTGTCGTAGAATTTACTAAAAAATTAAATATTATTGCAAAATTAAAAGATTAATTTAAATTCTCCATCCAATTACAAGAGTTAAACGTTCGAAGTTCAAATTGCACAAACTTCTATGTAATCTTTAACGTGTTTAATTTTTAGATATTTTAAATATTTTAACATCGGCTACAGTTGATTCGCAGTCTTTACTGTCGTTTATATATTTAATTACTAAATTGAAATTATGAAAATCAATACTTGTGAGTTTATAAATTAAAATCTTCAACAAAACTTTCGTATTCCAAGTTTAACTTATTTTATCGAATTAATATTAATTTTTAAACGCCATTGAAAACAAACACATGCATGTATTGTATATGCCCTAGAGACCCGAGTAGTTTTGGTTCCACCTTTTCAATTATTACAATTTGCCGAGCCATTGCCAGAGCACTCGCACGTCAATAATAATAAATTTTTCTACCTGAATTATTTCATAAAATTAGCGCGGGTCCTATAAGCCAAATTTCTGCATCTTCTCAGCTTAAACTGAAAAGAACGTTTTTGATAAGAAACGTTTAGAAGCGCTAAGACGAATCACAAATAATTGTAATTAATTAATAGACCGATACGTTTCACTCTCGTCTCGTGACGTCGCCAAATACAAGGCAGCTTAATTGATAAAGACACGTGATTTGACTATTTATTTCCTCGCTTGTCACGATTTATTTTTTATTTTTTGCCATTCATTACACCTGTTGACAAAGTGCGGTTCACACGTAAAGATGTTTCTCAAACTTGTTCTCCTTTCCCTTTCCTTACTGACTGTTCAGGAAGATGCAAATTTGGGTGAGTATTGCGAATCTAACGAATAACGTTTTGCTCTTTTCTACTACAATTAATACGGACACATTTATATATTTTGTTTATTTTATTATCATCGCGTCTGCTTCAAAATACTTCGACTATAATAATTATTGCTTAAATGGGGATATCCGAGCTTACATCGATTATCCGAATTGCCACGTATACAGTTCCACTGGTAAAAACACACTTTGTATAATTTCGCGTACATTATCTGTTGTAAATAGTAAATTTGGGAAACTCGCGTGAGTGAGATCCGAATTACAGATAATAAGAATAGATATAATAATTGCTATAGCAATGCTTTTTTGAACAAACGAAAAGCGTCAGTAAGAAAGTTTATGATTTTTCTGTGCGAATCACGTTAAACATATTTACTTTTAATACAGATTTTTCAATATTTTACAGAATTGGCGACTAAAACCAATGTCGTAAGAATTGCTAAACCATTAGTAAGTATCGTTTTTAACATAATAATATATAAAAATTGTAATTTGTATGCCAATAATGGACGGTACATTGATCGGTTCTTATGCTTTTTACGTATGACGTAACACTTCAAGTAAAGTAAACCGTATGGTGAGATAGATGCTATTTTTATTTTTTCATATAATTTATTGTCCTTTGATTATATACAATCGTCAATATTATTCGTAGTGGCTAATTTGATATCGAATGAATTTTTCGGATTTGCTTGTGGTACGTCGGGCCTCTTCTTTATCCATTCGTCCCCACCATCTTCAGTCCGTCCCAGTCCACGATGGAACACTAAGACATCTCCTTTTATTATATTCGTAGACTGTAACTATAAGAAACCCATCAGTGTTCACAAGAACCAAATCCGACAAAAATAAATGAACATGTTCCAGACTGGAGTCGAGCCTGCGTTTTAAATGAATATTTGTCTAAAAACAGAAGGATGATTAATTCAATTTTATTTCTTTTAACTATTTGAAATCTGTCGGCATGACGTAAAGATTTAGTGTTCCTTTATAAGTCGACTTCCACTCTAAAAAAATGATTTTTTTTCTTAAAATCCGCAGTTTTTAACCTTGATTGCTTCCGAGTGATAAATTCGTTACGTTTGTTATTTTATTCTAAAACTAGCAGGTAGGCCCGGCGTTGCTCGGGCAAAAGTAACGGTAGCGAAGATTAAGATTATTATGTTATAGTCAACCTTACCCGTTTTCACAAAATGCATCGTTTCCTCCTGTTTCTAGACTAACTACAGAATTTTTAGATGGGTGTAAAATTATGTTCGATTTCCCGCAAAACGAAAAAAAATACTGCATCTGCGTCTTGCACGTCGCTTTCTCTTAGCAATTCCATTGTTACGTAACACTTCCATTGTTGACACGTCTATTGTTGACACTTCCATTCTTAACACTTCCATTGTTACTTAGCACTTTCATTGTTACTTAACACTTCCATTGTTAACACTGCCATTGTTACTTAACACTTCCATTGTCGAAACCTTAATCCTGTCTCTCTCCTCCCGGGGGAATTTCGAAAAATGCCTTCTTAGTGTGCATTTTCGTAACGTACCCTATCTGTGTACGAAATTTCAACTTTCAACTCCTAACCGTTTGGGCTCTGCGCTTATTATTATTATTATCATCAACCCGTCTCGATTACAGGTATATATTAGATAGATAGACAATAGCCACAGTTATAGTTTAGTGTTTCCTGATTATGCACTCGTTAAAACCTACACCTCGAGTACTCCTCTGAAAAATTACCGTTAATCATCGAGGCTGATTTGACGTGTGTTTATTAGGGCATGTCAACGCCTACGCTATTCGACGAATGCCGAATATTCGCCTTTGGCCCAACTATTTGCCGAAGTGTTTGTTAATGGGTCAGAGCACAAGCACGCCGGGGCTTTTTTAGTATTTACTTAGCAATAGCACATAAAATCGATCTGTCCGAACGCTAACAAGACGATTCTATCTGTCAATACCACATCTTTTGTCAAAGATCCTTTCGTCGTAAAAGCGCTGTTTGCTTAATGTAATGATAATCATTCCAGAAAATAAAAAAAAATTATTACTTTTAATTTCAGTTCAGTATTTATTCCAACGTATCATGCCAAGAAGTATATTTAGAACACAGCAAGGAACTTTTGTCGTTGATCTACAGAACATTAAATGCCAGGTAAGTCTCTGTGAAGCGTTCTCTACGTTTGTCAATAATTAAACAAAACAAATAACTTTATTTTCTTATTGTGTTTATTATCACTGTCGCATTATTGAAATCCCCATTTATTGTCTTGCTGCCTTTTCGCTGCAAATACACCGATTTTAGATATCATCTCCTACGTCGTGCATTAGTGATGGCACGAATGAAATCAACGTGCCAGTAGAAAGAGCAGTTGGAAGCTCGACAGTAAATGCAAAGTGAAGCGCATGCCAGTGAAAAATAACTATTTGTAGCCGTTTTTATTTAATTAAAGATTAGAGAATAATCTCGTGTTTAATGGCAAGAAAGTAAGTACAGTAGAATCTTTCTTTAAAGGATGACGGATCAGTGGATTTTTTAAAATAACGGATCCTTTTTTTAGGTCACGCCAAATCAATGTAATTTTACCTCTTTTTATCAGATATTTTAATCAGAATAAATAATTTTTTCTACTTCAAATATATTGTAAACTTCGCGTTTTTTTAACGTTTAGGTAATATTTGGCTGTTTCTGGAAATTTGTAGAGTTCGATGATAAACTTGTTATATTTGAAATGTGTATGCACAACTGAAGAATTGTGCGAAGAGTCATTCTGCTGATGCGATTAAAGAGGAACCACGTAGTGAAAACTGTCGCCGGTCCAAGTGTTGCGCCGAAGTTTAGCGTGGTCATCGAGTATTTTCAAGACCTTCTTGAGACGTTTTAGTACCGGTACATAACATTATCAAGCGGTTGTTGTATTCAATAAACGGAAAAGCGGCATCGAAACAAACCAAGATGAACGAGCTTTTTAACAAATCGTGGTCGATCAAAGTGTTAGTGAGCATATGTAATTTGCCTGTTTTTGTGTTCACAGATGTACAGTACATCTTACGTCAGCTTTGTCGTTCACACGTATGGCATAATACACACATACAGTACCTTAAAAAATACGCCTTTCTATAAAATTGCCAGAAACTCAGAAGACTGACTGGCAACACTATTTCTAACCGGAGTTGATTGGCAACAAATTGTGCACAGAGCGCGAAATTTATTGTATTGTCCGTGTTTCGCCCGAGAGTAGGTGTTCGATACGATTGCTCTGACCACGTATAATAAAGATTCGTAACAGTTCGTGTAGTGGTGGAATTTGAATTAAATTTCAATCTCGCGGACGTGTTGGCATTGGAGTACCTAGCTTGGTACTTGGAAAAAATCGTAGGATAGAATGCCAAGGAATAAAGATCATAGATCTCAAGAGAATGAATAATTTCAATTACTTGTATTTCTTATGTGTAGGGCTTAAGAAACGGAAATTTTTTCGAATAACGGATATTTTTCTGAGTATGCGGAAAATCCGTTGTTTGCGATATAACGGATTCTCGGAACAACAGATGATTTACTTCCGTAACATGCACGGCGAGTGAATCGGATACCCATCGAGCTCTCCAGGGACTGATGGGAGGCCATTTATGAACGTGTGGGATCCCACGCCAGCGACATCGTGCCTGTTCCTACTTCGGGATATCGTAAGATTCCTCTAGAGCCCTGCAGTGGCAGAGTGGATGTAACCACTACTGGTTATATAGCGTTTTTCAGGTATTTTCACGTTAGTAACACCTAAATTGGGGTCATATTTCAAAACAAAGTCCTGCCGGAAAGCATCCCACTCGGCAGATTGTTCAAGTGTCCCGTTGCCGTAAACAGGTAAACCAAATTCGGTGGCATCACCACGTGTCTTGTTACCGAACACAAACAAACAAATAGACAAATAAACTATGCTTCTATATGACCAAAAGACAGTCTTACGAGCTAGTGAAGTTTTCTGTTTTAAATTGTAACGTTGTCTAGCGGGAAATTATCTCTTTCTTGATGATTTTATAATTTCTTTTTATCATCGTCGTTAAGTTGACGGCATAAATATGATGCTTTGTTCGATTGCCACGCGCACTTCTAAGCGGCTTTGATTGTGTTAATATCAATTGTAACATTTAATGTGATAGCGACATCACATTATTTTAAACGTGAAATTAATTATATATTTTCAGTTGCGTGTACGCAAACGTGTCAGAAAATGACGTACCCAAATCCTATGGAAAAAAATTTCAAATGTCGCAGTTAATAAAAAAGGTATTTATTAGTTCAGTTCTTCCGCTTTTATTCTTTATTTCTGTAGCATCGAAACATTTGTTTAATTTATTCCAAATTACTGTATATACAACACGGAAAAAGTATAGTAACGAGTCATATTTTGGCCTTACGTTTTAACAATTCAAAAGCCTAAAAATATAAAAAAACAAAAAAAATCTTTACGAAAATCAGTACGTGCATTCTGCATATTTCTGGACTATATGACCTATAAATTTGCCAAGATTATTTGTACATACAGGGCATTGATTCTGTTAAATTTTTGAGGTCATAAATCAAGGAAATCGGTGCGTCACATCTCGAAAGCGATTAAATTTAAAGGAAGTTTTACTTGTTACTAGCATTTGGAATTTGTTTAGAAATTACTGCAAAATAATGCACATGTTATTTACTAGTAAGTAATAGAACAAACAAGTTAAAATTTATTCGAGAGAACTCACTTCGCTTCTTTCGAAAAACTGCTGTGTAAAGAAGTAAGTCTTCCCTCTCGCGATTAGACGTCATCGTGAATTTATTAATATTTTAATAATTAATTTATTTCCTTCTTCATTTTTGTATTAATATGTAGTTTAAAAATTAATTTTACAATAAGTATTTTGTGACAACAACTGGTAAACAACGTATTACGAATTATATTGTAATGTAATATAGCCTTTTCCGTAATACGCTGATAGATTCCATCGATATATTCATTACAGTTATTTGTATAAATGATATTTCAAATTATTCACTTCACAGGAGGCTGATATTTCGTCAACAGAATTCGAACTTAGATTCGATAATTACCGCAACGTGGATTTTTCAGTACCTCTTTTCATAAAAACGAAAACTTTTTTTATAAAACTGAGAAAACAAAACATTGGATGGCATACAATCGTCAATGCCTTTCGTTTACAGGTAAATTTTTTCCTCTCTAAAATTATAAATCAGAACGCTTAAAAATTGCAATTATTATTTTCCTTCCATACAAATTTAATGAAGGTGTGGCTAGCTCTACTGAGTTCCGTTTTACTGTTTGGATTTTATTTTCGTTGGGTCATCAAAGACAAAGACGATAAACCTTGGCACGTAGCGAGTGTATACTGGTTTCTCTTCACCACTTTGACTAACCAAGGTAAGTCGATACGATTTATGACAATTTGTTGTTGACGAATTTATATTGAGTTTCTATCGTTACAGGAGTCGACATGAGTGTCATCAATCGATTTGCGTCCAGAATATGTTTTGTAATGTGGGTGTTATCGATTAGTGTTTTGTTATGGGGTTACGGCGGTGTATTGTCGTCGCTGCTGGCCGTGCGGGTAAACGAACCCGTGCCCACCACACTCGAACAACTCGCTGCTGCTCTTGACAGAAGAGAATATTCCTGCTTACTTATTTGCAACAGTAACTATATTCAAAGTTTAAATGTAAGTATAAAGTTGTTTTAAAAAATAATCCGGTTCAGTGAAATAACAATATCGGTCTGACATACAAATTTACGAAATGATTATTGTATTATGGGAAAACTCGTATGTATACTTATTCTATGTGCAAGAAAATCTGTGGTCATAGAATTAATGAACAGAAATATAAATTCAAACTGCAGTTAATAGAGTACGAGAGCGCAACAACATCACCCGATAAAACTTAGAAGGGTATTGTTGGCAACAATAATGTAGCTTTGGAATTGTATTGATTGAGAGTTTTATATATAAACGTATGTCGAAGTTATTCTTTCGGATAAGCAAACCTATGATATTTAAAAATAACATGAGCTGTATCGCGTTTTTTCCCTTACCTTACTATTTTATGCCAAATTTTACTAAAGTTGTTGATCTTATTGGTTGAAAACATTCGTAGCTAGTTTCTATTCGTTTATAAAAATGTTTTTGTTGACTATTAGAAAACAATACAAGTTTGCTGATTAAAATACAGTAGACCCCCTATAACACGGTAGATACGTTCCGTGTTACATGAATTCCGTGTTGTACGAGTCACTTAGATTGTACAAATACGTGAGCCGTTCACAGCCCGGCACTTGCGCAGCTTAAGGGATACGGCTGGTTTAAAGGTTTTATTCCATAAAATTGATCGATTCTAAGCTAATTTGACTCGAACATTTCCAAAACACGTATAATTTTTTGTGAATAATCCGTATAAACTACGTTATAAACAAAAAATTGTAGGAATACTTACCGAGCGCGCACCGTTCGAAGACGCCATTGCTTAAGCTCGTTTTCGTCGCGGATCGGCTCATCGGATGGCGGTCACGTGTTTCCCGATAAGTTATTCTTTCTGCGAAAAATTTGCTGAACTTTGGAGTCATCATTAATAGAAATATAATATTTATGGCTGTTGAATAATAAATGTTTTTTGTAGGTCCGCTGCTCGTTTAAACTCAACGGTTTGTGCAATGATCACTATTGGTCCAGATTTGACCAATTCTGTCGAGACACGAGTCGGCCATGACAATCTGTCTCATTCTTTTACGGTGTTATACGAGCCTTTTTTAGCATGTTACACGAACATGATCGCATTTTTTCTGTCGTGTTATACAAATCCGTTTTATATGAACCCGTGTTATAGGGGTATACTGTACTGTTTTCGTTCGTTTACCACTTACAATGAATACATTCAATGCGACAATAATGAAATTATATCACACGTTAGCAAGACGTCGGGTTTCTTTGACACTTCCCACCGTATGGGCAATAAGATGGCCTTTTATCGAGGTCAAAGTGGATTCGATTAGACTCACAATAAAACATTCGGAAGCCGACATATCCCGCATGTACTACTTCGAAGATTCCAAAGTTTTACGACCTGTCCGAATCTGGACTGGTATCCCAGTCTCTGCGGTCGCTTTTTTCTAACAGTTGGAATATACTACAGTCTGTTAACAGAATGCCTGATATTGCAGATAACTGTATTTTAATGTAACGGGTATAAAAATACACAAAGAATAACCGCTGTAACTTTGGAGCAGTGAACAATGCAAGCTGAGTCCACATGGATCCCACCGGAAGTTAAAGGAAAGGAGCGAAATTACTGGGGCTTGCCCATTCTTGAGTTGAAACTTTTGTTATGAATTCTTTGGAAAGAATATTGTAAAAAAATTGGGCAAAGCGAAAGGGATTTGGAACAATAATTCGTGGTAAAACACTACACAGCCATTATTTATAGTAGATTTTAGGTTTATTAGCAACTAACAAATAAGCCCAGCGTTGCTCTGGTAAACGATTTGGATGATTTGGTAAATATTATATGTTTGGAAATTAAATTATAACTATTAAAAAAAAAACTGCATCTAAAATAGTACAGTAGAAGCCGTTCTTCAGGTTAAGCCTTAATCTTCCCCCTCTCCCCCGCGAAGATTTTCGAAAAATCTCTTCTAGTGTGCATTTTCATGACGTATCCTAATTACTCTAACTGTATACCAAATTTCATCTCTTTAGGTTCAGCAATTTACTCTGGGCTATGAATCAATCAGTCAGTCAGGACATGTAATTTTATATACATAGATAACAAGTTTCATCTATATATATAAAAATGTGTGTGTGTGTGTGTGTGTGTGTGTGTGTGTGTGTGTGTCTGTCCTTCATGCGTTACCACACCGTTTATCCGATTGCCGTGAAACTTTGGGAAGTTGTTTAATATACTCCCGCGATGGTTTCTGGCATAGTACGATTGCCACGAAACTTTGGAAAGTTTTTTAATACACTCCCGCGAAGTACATTTATCCTACGATAGATGGCGCGCATGTATACGAGCACTGTCTGTCCTGTATGTTCGATCGATTTCAAATTGTGAAGACCATTTCCCCCTCCAAAAAATATTTCTATATATGCATTTGTTATTTACGATATTTGTAATAATTTTTGTTTAATCACTTTATTTTAACTTTTTTTTGGTAATTACGTATTCGCTCTAACTTCGTTAAAACCTTAACTGTACCCGGAACAACAATCGAAGTTGTAGGAGGAAATTCGCCTATTTTACCGATCTAGGGATTCCCCTTTCCCAAATTTTAATATCGACTCAAAATAATTTAAAAAGACAAATTACAATAAAACGGTTTATTATCCAACTATCAGAAATTTCACAACATGCCAAGGAAGAGAGGAAGGATCAATTAAATAATTAAAATTATAAAGGATTAAAAAATATATATATAAAAATGGGGAATATCGCACTTCTGACAATCGCTGCGAGTGTGTGGGCTAAATTTGGAGAATCCGTGCTTCTTGCATGGACAACTGTATGTCTGCAACTCACGCGTCGGAAAACTTTCTGATTTATTCGTGTACGCACCAGACGGAAAAACAAAAAATATCGTGTATCCACAAGCACTCCAATAAATAAATAGAATTCAAACGACACTTTGAAATGTTTTCCCGATGGAAATGAATAATAATAATAAGTTTCAATAAAAATGATAAAATGTAAATTGAATTTTATCATAACGAGTTTGCTTGAATTTCGTTTCTTCTGAGATCGCAGCAATGCGTGACGGGTAAGCTAGTACTTATTAAAAATTTACCTTATCACTTGAAATAGCAATTGAATTTTTACAGAAATCAAAAATCGGATACTTGAGAACCTTGGCCAAACATCTTCATTCCAGTCACCAGTTTTTGAGAAATCAACTAAAAGAAGATGCTGAAATAAAAGAAAAATTAATTAATGCTTATACTAAATTAAGAACTTCAAAAGGCTTGGATACCAATGTAATAGTTGTCGAAATATACGAAATGATCATTAAAATGTTTGGAGAAACATCAAAGCGGGCAATTGTCGATTTTCCAGACTTAATAAAATTCCTGACCATGGATTCCGACGACGAATATTTCGTATCCGATGACATACTTTCCACAAGTAATTTGGTACTTATGATGAGAAAAGGATTTCCGCATAAAAATAAAATCGACAAATTGTAAGTATACTTTAACATGTCTCTTTATGTAGAAACTCTAATCTAATTTAATAATTAATTTATCTTTAGAATCAGAAGATTGTTCGACACTGGAATTATTATTAAAATGTCTGGCGGTACATTTTTCGAATCAAAACTAAAATCGTCGAATGATTGGAAACGTTTGTCTCTACAAGACTTGTTTGGTCCATTTGTTGTGCTTATCGTAGGTTACGCCTTATCATTTTCTTGTTTCCTTGCCGAATTCCTGGTCGGAATGACATGCAATCGGATTGTTCCTTTCAAGCAGTAAATTATCGAACTTTTCGTTAGCACAATCATGTGTAAAGGTCGGAGGTGTAGGGGAAACCGGGAAGAGATATAACTTTTTTGGAAACATTTGTTAATAAGATATTAATTAACTTTTAAATGTAGTCACCGATAAGTTTGTACACGATGTGCGCTTCTAGAAAATAATTAATTGCGAAAACTAGTTTATAAACATCACCAAAAACTAAATAGTAATTATGACGATGCTTATAATAATGATTATAAATTAATTGTATAAATTGCAGAAAAATAAGTTGTTAGAAATCGGCCGCTATTTGCTGAGTTGTTCCGCGACGAAAACAAGCTTTAGCAATGAGGATGTCTAATAGTGCACACTCGGTAAGTTATCCTACAATTTTTTGTTTATAGCGTANCGTAACACCAATTTGTGACCATGCTTATGCGATTTTACAGAAGTTTATTTACATTGTGTAATACAAAATTAATACGTCACTAAAAATTTTTGGTAAAATGCATTTCGGGCTTTTTTTTAAAATTATAACCCATTTTTACTTGTCATTTTTTATTCAGGGATTGAAGCGCAAGCAACAACTCTGACATTTGTTATGAGTATTTATAATTAACTGTTAAGAAACTACGATTATAAAATATTTATACACATTACAATGGAACAAACTTTCAGTTGGATGATAATTCTTATTAATGTGTTATATTTAATTTTTTCATGAAATTTATTAAAGTATGGGAATTTAAGTCTTTTCATTTTTAAATTTTATTTAAAAAATTCAAAATGAATACTTAAACAATTGAACATGTAGTAATTGTCTGTCAAATACTAAACATACAGTTTTATTTTCGATCTTAAAAGAATTATAAGAAAAAATAAATAAAAAATTAAAAAATTACAATATACAGTTAGTAGCCGAACAGGATAATCATACAGGGCAATAATGATAAACAAAAGGATAATAAAAATGTAAATTTCAATGCAATTGTTCAAGAGAAAAATTTTATAAGCAATAGTGGTTGCGAAATAAATAAAAAATACAGAAATGACTAAAAAATGCAAAACCAGTTGGGAAATTTATCTGTTTGCGCTATGTGTAGGTCAGCAGATGGAAATTTTACATTTTCTTAAATTTTTTTCCAAAATTACACTACGTGTAAATTAACAAATCGAATGGAGATGGAAATTAATTGATTTACAGAAATCCAACAGATATTTTGGGTTGAAATTTTGACGTAAATTTTGTCTAAACTAGCGATAGTTAAGTGTAACGCCCGAGTTTTGTAGCAATTGGTCGAACGGCCTAGGAGTGTATAGCGAACAAACAAACATCCGAACATTCTCTTATATAGATAAAATAATTTAAAAGTAATCGATTCCTGGCAGTGATCATACTTCCGTCTATCCAATATGGCCAAATTAGTTTATACGATCCGCATAAATTAACGGCTTTTTTAACACGTCCGATCGACCGAAAGACTAATTTAAATTTCAAAATAATATTTTAAGCNAAACCAGTTGGGAAATTTATCTGTTTGCGCTATGTGTAGGTCAGCAGATGGAAATTTTACATTTTCTTAAATTTTTTTCCAAAATTACACTACGTGTAAATTAACAAATCGAATGGAGATGGAAATTAATTGATTTACAGAAATCCAACAGATATTTTGGGTTGAAATTTTGACGTAAATTTTGTCTAAACTAGCGATAGTTAAGTGTAACGCCCGAGTTTTGTAGCAATTGGTCGAACGGCCTAGGAGTGTATAGCGAACAAACAAACATCCGAACATTCTCTTATATAGATAAAATAATTTAAAAGTAATCGATTCCTGGCAGTGATCATACTTCCGTCTATCCAATATGGCCAAATTAGTTTATACGATCCGCATAAATTAACGGCTTTTTTAACACGTCCGATCGACCGAAAGACTAATTTAAATTTCAAAATAATATTTTAAGCAAAATAAATTTTAAAATTTATTTTTAAAACTAAATTAATTATCGATTCTAGAAACAAGTTAACGACTGTCGGGTAGCGCCGTGGATTAACAGATTTTGAAAATTTTTACGTGACAAAAATAATCGAAGCATATTTTATCGACAATATTACACGAACACGGTATATTTTCGCCTAAAAATGAAAAATTATATTATTTATAAGCTGTACGGTCAGTAACTAAAGAGTAAACACATTTGTTTTTTTTTTAAATTAAGTCAAATTTAATTTATTACTTAACAATAAAAGTGTTATAAGATAATCTTATATATTGATTAAATTATTTATACAAAGTTTTATAATAAGTATAAAATATGTACATTATTTATACAATGTTTTAGATTTTGATTGTAATAAAATTATAAACACAGTATTAAGAAATAATTTAAAATTGTTTGTATATTTTGAAACCCTACCTTTTGATGAAATTAGTCGAAATATTCTATCTGGCATTGAGTTTACTAATTTTTTTTTGTTGTTTTTTCAGTTAGTGCCTTTCATGCTTTCATAATTTCCAATTTTACTTTCTATACACTGTTATATGATTTTCTCTATAGACAGCAAATGTTAGGCAGCCCATAGATTTTTAATGGGATTCATATCTGGACTTCTGGATGGCCAATCAATTACCTCAAATTTTTTTCAAGTCATTCTTTTGCTGATTTTGAGGCATGCTACCTTTAAGAAGTGTCGCCATCGTCTTATCCACAGTCAGTTCTGACTTATTTACCACAAGGCATTTCTGTAATTTCATCATCCACTTTTCACCTTGGGATTCCGGCTCCCTGCTCGATTTACCGGATATAAATAAAACCAAATCGTCTGCGCAAGTTATTTATTCTACAACATTCAGGCAACGTTCAAATACCAAATTACAGAGGACAGGTTTGAGAACCGACCCCTGGAGATAGTTTCTATTTACCTTCCACACCGTTTGTCACTCTCCTCGTACATAACTTCTCTACATCATAAATAGTCCCGTAGTAACTAGTAGAATTCACCGGAACAATTTATATACACCAACTCCTTTAAAATGGAAGGCCACCATAATTGATCGAAAGCACTTTTAATATCAAAAAATATAGCAAAAACGTAATTGTTACAAGACTTTTCAACCACTTCTCGGAGACGCATAAATGCATCTTCCGTTGAGCATCCTCTCTTAAAACCGTAGTGGTAATCATTATTATACCTATTGATCACAGACTCTAGTCTGTTCTTTATTATAGGCTCAAATATTTTCTCTGGCAACGGTACTAAACATATTGGCCTATACGATCTCACATTAGTCTTAACCTTATTACCACCTTTATATATTATTACTGACTTTCCCTATTTCCAACAGTTAGAGAAGACACCACACACCAAACATGTCTCATATAACCTTTTCATATGAGACGTTAAGTCACCATAACCTTTTTTAATTACTTTGTAGGCAATATTGTTGGTCCCAGAAGCTTTTCTACTCTTCGAGGTCTTAGCGGCTACGTCAACATTATTGTCATTTACCTCATCGATACGCCTGCTATTACTATAATTATGCACTATTACCCTAGTCTGGCTTTGATCCAGATCATCGTACTGCTCGTTATCACTGAGAAACAGGGAGTACAATAAGTACTCTACTACTGAGGTCTAATTCAGTAACTCTTTATTATCACAACTGATATTAACCAATACCTGAGTAGTCTCGAGCATTTTAGGTAAAATTTTATAGAGTATACTCCAGGGATGACCTTTAGTTTTTCATATCTTTGCCTCTCTATACTAGAAATACAGGGGCGTGCCGTGACATTTGATGATAGGGAAGCTGTGTTTTTGTAACAAGCCGACTTCCAGGGGCAATCAGTCAGTGATGGTCTAGGCCTCTAGGGTCTATTCGTATTCGTTTGTTCGATAAGCCAGTGAAAACCGTAGACTTCTCTAAATGTATTTTTAATTAATAGATTATCTAACGCGTTTAATAAATAAGCGAGTTCAATATAATTAACTCTGTTATATTAGATTTAATAGATTCTCTACGCCCTCTAAATGCCAATTCTCCCTTCGATAACATCTACTAATTAAAATATAATATATCTATTAGCCGTAACTATCTCGTTATAATTTTCAATATTTATTTTATATTGTGTACTAATGTTAAGTTCTATTCTATTTTGATTTCGAAATTGCTTCAATTTTACGAACGCTTCGATGCGAGATTTAGGATTTTCGTGTCTTTTTCCAGCTTTACTCAAATTATTTAAATCGTCAAAGCCAATCTCATTCTACACACTAATTTTATTTGAAAATAGTAGGTGAGGCCAACAAAACAAATTTTGCATTTTTATGCATCCACAGAGCCATTTTATATCTTCATAAATTTTATCATTAAAATGTCGAACAAATTTTTTCGTTTTCATTATATGGTCTCGAGCCAAAACTTTTTGAAATAAATTTTCGATATCACAATTACATTCTAAATTGCTAGCTATAATATAAGGGCTAAAATTAAAAATAAAATTATAAAAACTTACTTGTTAAAATAAAATGTGTGATGA